TGGCTGGGACTGACAGGCGCCTTCGAGGAAGCCACTAGAGCGGGGACTCCCTGCAGCCCATGGACACTGTCTGCTCCTATCAGCCGAGTCCCCGTGGGGGCGGCCAGTCTTGGACATCTGCTGGCCCTATTCTCTCCCCTGCGCAGGAGGGTCACCCTCCCTGTATTCTAGTCTCAGGACTCCCCTCCACCTTGCCATGCTGATGTCAGACCTCCTTTTCCCTTCAGTGCTTCACAGATGACAGGACAATGTTACCTGACATTAATACAGGGCCGAGGGACCAGCAGATGGCGTAATGGTTATGTCTCTGGGCTCCCATGTGATCGACCGTGGTTCGAGTCCTGGACCTGGTGGCTCAAACTCATGCCGGGCACATGTACGTGCGTGTCCAAGATCCCGAGAGGAGAATGGAGGAGAAGGGATTGTGGTGTGGCCATCCCTCCTGGGGGATGATTTCTCGCTTTCTGTCTCTCTGTCTCTCTGGCGAGCGCATGCACCCTATAGCAAAAACCTCTCCAAAAAAACCAAAAAAAGCCTCATGCTGGGTGTGTATGTGTGTGTGCCCAAGATCCTGAGAGGAGAATGGAGAAGTGATAGCAGTGTGGCCATCCCCCAGGGGGAGGGGTGATTTGTTGCTCTCTCTCTCTCTGTCTCTCTGGCAAGCACATGTGCTCTGTAGCAAAAATCTCTCTATAAAAAATATAGAGCTGGGACCAGCAGTTAGCATAATGGCTATGTCGCTGGACTCCCATGTAGTCGACCGCAGTTCAAGTCTCGGACCCAGTGGCTTAAACTCACGCCGGGTGCATGTGTGTGCTCAAGATCCTGAGAGGAGAATGGAGAAGGGATTGCGGCGTGGCCATCCCCGCTAGAGGGTGATTTCTCGCTTTCTATCTCTCTGTCTCTCTCTGTCTTTCTGGCGAGCACATGTGCCCTGTAGCAAAAACTTCTCAAAAAAAAAAAAAATACAGAGCCAAGTGCCAGGTTGCTCTAAGGCTTCACACATACCAATTTATTTTGGTCCCTCCTTTCCAGAAAGCTTAGCAATGTCCTCTCATCAGTTCCCTCTCCAGCCGTGCTGAGTGGCTGAGGGTCTTACTGCTATACCTAAGGCAATGTGGCGTCTCCAATAACATGCCAGGGTGGCCTTCCGTCCTCTTCAGCAAGAACCTGAGTGGTTTAAAGTACCCCAAAGAATAAAAGGACGTGTATTCTGCAGTCATCGGGTACTGTGTCATAAATTAGGTCATGTAGGCCAAACCTTTCATGGTGGTGTTCAGACCATCTTTGTTCTTCCCGATTTTCTCTACAGTTCTTTTATTATTAATTTTTGAGTTTATTTACTTATTTCTTTTATGAGCAGGAAACACAGAGACAGAGAGAGACAGCACCCAGAGCAGGAGCTTGACACCATGATCGCGGAGCCCTCAGCCAGCTCCAGGTCATGGGCAAGCACGTGCCGGTCTACTCAGGGAAGTCTCGGGAGTGGGCCTGTGGGACCTTCCCATGTGGGACTGCCCTGCAGTGTGACATTTTACCACTGTACCGCCACCTGAGAGGGGTATATCAAGATCCCGACTCCCTTTCCTTCCTGTGTCTCTCTTTATTCTTTCTCTTATTGCTATCATAACGTGGGTAGCAAGCCAAAAAGGGCCATTTTTCAAGAGGCTGATCCTGTGTGCTTCTAGAAACTGGAGTGTGTGAGTTCAGATGCCTCTGGGGGCCAGACAGGTACCGAGAGGAAAAAGTGCAGGGCGGTGATTGGAACTCAGAGGGAGGGGTGGCGTGGGCCGTGGCAGACGTGCTCCACCACGGACGCTCCAGCTGGCGGCTACCATGAGGGAGTGTCAGCGGTGCTGCCAGATCGCCAAGGTTTTAGTGAGAAACCCCGATTTTTGTGAGAAATCTCCTGACTTTTATTTTTAAAAATGTATGTATTTGTTCCTGAGGGTTCATGCACATGCCAGTGAGAGACAGAAAGAGGGAGAAGAAAAAAGTACCCCTTAGTAGAGCATAGTTATGCCACAATCCCTTCTCCTCTGCTTTCCCATTGGATTGGCACTTAGAGCATACATGCACACATGCCCAGCATGTTCTGGGGAGATTTTTTTGCTGCTTGAATATTAATTATTCAGGGCCAGCCCTGTGATCTACAGGTTAAGGAAGCCAGATCCCACATGGCTGACTACGCTTTAAATCACGGCCCTCAAGGTTTGAAAAACACGTCAGGCATGTGCACACACATGCTCAAAATCCAAAAGGATGGAAAAATGAAGGGACTTTGGTGCAGCTACATCCCAGGGAGGTGGCTTTCTCCCTTTCTCCTGTCTCTGTCTCTCTCTGGAAAACACATGTGCCTTCAGGTGGGGAGGGAATAAAACCACTGGGTCATTCAAAAGTGATCATTACAATTTTGATTTTATTTTTTCAATTTATTTATTTGCATTCATTCACTGTACATCATTACAGCATACAAAGTGAGATTTCCCATCCAGAGTACACTGTATATTGTCTCAATCAAGCACATCAACAAACATGTTATTGTCAGCAAATAATCTTCCATTTCTTGTTTGATCATTACAATTTTAAAAAGTGAATTAACCATATTTTGGACTTATGTTGTATTACTTACTAAGAGCAGCTAATGAATAAGAATAATAATTATTTTTTCAGAAAATAACCAGTTCTCCCCAGAAGCTAATCAGCTGCAGAAGGGAAAAGGTGGATGCCTGTGCCATGGCCACTCTGTCTTCTGATGAGCTCCTCAAGGCCTGGATCTAGCGGGCGACGGGAAGGGCCCAGTGAGGCCAAGCAACTGGTGTGCCCAACACGGGAACCTCCAGAGGAGAGGCTGTATTTCTGTTTTCCTCCTGGGACGAAGGACACAAGAAGTCACAGGAGCTGCTGTGTCCTTGTCAAGCACAGCAGTGTGGCCGTCGGAGCGCTCACGGTGGGATGTGGCCTCCAGGCCGAGTGCTGACTGGGGATGTGGCCTCCAGGCCGAGTGCTGACCGGGGATGTGGCCTCCAGGCCGAGAGCTGACCGGTGATGTGGCCTCCAGGCCGAGAGCTGCCATGTGCAAGGGGAGCAACAACCTGTGGAAAGTGACTTAATCCCTCTGGTCCTCAGTTTTCTCGTGTGTAATGGGGGGACTAACCATGCGTCTGTTGGTCTGTCTTTACATATAAATGGACATGTAAATGTCTTTATTACTAAAGTGTCATAAGAATGGCCAAGGCTCTACAGGCTGGCTGGCTTGGAGGTCCCACTTCCCGATAGGAAACACTGAAGAGGAAAGGAAGGGTGGGAGCAATGGGGTTGTTTACATTTCACACCAAACGTCTGTGAGAGGCGGATGGCTCGGGGAGTCCCGTGGTAGGTGGCCTGGAGGGGGGCCACAGCCCACTGAGAGAAGGAAGTGCGGGGCGCTGTGGATTCACAGTACTGTAAGGGTGGTGGTGTGCACACCCAGGACAGCCAGTAAAGGTGTGTGCTTTAAGACGAGGATGCAGAAGGATATTGGTACCTGTGATGTTTGCTATGCTCCTTTTTTTTTGCAGCGTTGCTAAAACAGAGAATTAAAAATAAAAAGGGGTCACCTTGGGTAATCTTTTTGTTTCCTGTTTTTTTTTTTTTTTTTTTAAAAAAAAGCAGGCTTTAGGGTCCTAGTGACATCATCAACCTTGAGTCAAGAGAAGCCCTGAGGGACCCTTTGGTCCAGAGGAATGGGTGAACCCCAGTGGGGTCTGGGGCAGGGAGGAGCCAGTCACCTGCACACAGTCCTGAGTTCACAGCCAGGAGCTGCCTGGGTTGGGGTCAGCCTCTGGTATGAGAACCCCAGCTGAGGCAGCTGGCTGAAGCCTCACCTGGTTGGGCTCCTGGGTCTTTTCTGGAGGCTCACTCCACAGGAAATCCCTCAGGAACCCTCTTTTCCTTGACAGAGCTCAGAGTGTTCTCAGCCCCTTCTTGTCGCTCATCCAGGACTCCCTTGGGACCCACGCTCCCACCCAGCAGGTGGAGAAAAGAGCCAGCGTCAGAGAAGGAATGGAGGGAGGCAATTTCTTGAGGGCTGAAGGGATTTTCAGGCAAGGCCTTCTCACTTTTTGACCATCCCCCCGCCCCCAAGCTCTGGAACTCCTGTGCTGGTTCACCCCTTCTGGCCTCGATCCACTCCCCAGCCCAAGTGAGACCATCTAACTGCTCCATCTAGGTGCTTCTTGCAGAGATGGAGGCTTACAACCCTAAATCCACCTGGGGGAGTCTCAAGTCGACAGGGGTGGGCTCTGTCCAGGGGTGTGAGACTGAGGAAGATCTTTTCATTTGTACAATTTGCAGGCTCCTGTGTTATCTGACTCTTCTAGAAAGACTGTTCATTTTATGTTTGGCCTACACTGGAAACAGTTTCCGTATGTAAAAATAAAGACTGTACTATTTTTTGGAAAGAATTATTTAATTTTATTTATTCATACATTTACTTTAATTTGACCAGAGAGAAAGACAGAAAAAGTGAGAAAGCAAGTCCCTAGGTCCGGGACTTGAACCGTGATTGGCCATGTGGGAGTGTACAGTGCCTTAATCACCACGCCACCTACTGATCCCCAAGACCATACTATTGCACCAGTCATCACCCCTGTCTCCCTCCTCCTTTCTCCCTACCCCTTTGCCCTGGGGCACCGTCCCTGTGTCACCTGCCCAGGCCCAGAACTGGGACATGACTCCCTGGCCTCCCACTGCCTGAGTCTCTCACAACTCGCCCCAGTGCCTGTCCATTTCTGCCGACACTTGTAGGTGTACAAAATTCTTCCCAAGTCTTCTGTTGTCTCCCTGTGTCTCCAACATGTGTTTTTCGAGACCCAGCCGCGCACCAGGCATTGAGCTGGTCCCGATGGAGGGGCTGCCTGCTTCGGAGCTGGCTGTTCTCCGTCTTCTGGAGCACTGGTTTCCTCCCAGGTCGCCGCCTCCTTCTGGTCCTTTGAACTGGGACACTTTAATGAGGGAAAACGATGTGATTCAGTCACACAGGACAGCAGCTATAAACGGGCTGTTCTGGGCACACCAGGAGTGTGGCCCCCCTAGTCATCAGGGGCAGTTCCCTTCTGTCTCGTGTCCCTTCTGCAAGCTAGACCTTCCAGAAGCCCAGGTTGGCTTAGCGCTGATGGTGGGCTGTCGGGAACGTCATGACGCATTTTGTGTAGAAAAACAGAAATATGCATCATGACTTTCCCAGCGACCTAATCTCCCCGTCCTTTATACAGCCTATCACAGCAGGAACTGGGGGGCAGGGGAGAGCGGGTGTCTGGGAGCAGCCTGAACTGTCTCAGGGAGAACTTGCCGTCGGCCCACCTAGTGGACGGAGTTCCCCAGAATCGAGTCCAGCTTTCCCAGTCCTGCCTTCAGGGAACAACTGTCCCCTCTTCTAGTTGCAGCGAGGCTCCCTGTGTTTCCTGGACAAAGAAAAGAGAGCTCAGATGAGTTTCCTAGAACGATGAAGACTCAGTTACAATGAAGAAACCCCTGCTCCATGGGACTCAGCTTCCAGAGGGGGTGAGGCAGAAGTAACCACAGAAATGCAACAATTTAAGCAAGAGCCGGTTATTACTGGCCAGCCTGTGGTGTGGTGGGGAAAGCACGTGGGCCTCACAGGGCTGATTGTGTGGTGACAGTCAGGCAGGACCAGCAGTGGCGTAACGGCTATGTCGCTGGACTCCCATGTAGTTGACTGCGGTTTGAGTCCCGGACCTGGTGGCTTAAACTCACGGCAGGTGTGTGTGTGTGTGTGCACATGCCCAAGATCCCGAGAGGAGAATGGAGGAAAAGGGATTGCAGTGTGGCCATCCCCCCTAGGGGGTGATTTCTTGCTTTCTGTCTCTGTCTCTCTGTCTTTCTGGTGAGCACACACGCCCTATAGCAAAAACCTCCCACCCCCAAGAAAAAAAAAAAAAAGGAGAGTCAGGGGCCCAGCAGCTTGAGAAACACACAGGGCACGTGTATGCATGCCCACAATTGCAACAGGAAGGAGAAACGGAGAAGGGTTGTGGTGTGACATTTCCTTTGGGAGTGCATTCTCACTTTCTCTCTCTCTCTCTTTGATAACTGCATGTGCCCTCTGGCAAAATTTTCAAAAAAGTGATCATGATTACTAAGTGAATAATCTAGTATATTGGGAGTTTATAAGTCGTATGGAAACATGAAGAGGTAGAGCAGAAAATGTGAAATAGGGTTAGGTTGCCGCCTTCTCGAAATGAGACCAGATGGAGCAAACTGAGCCATGCTATCAGATAAGCCCTGGCGTGGCACCCGGTGACGGAGGCGAGGAGTGACTAACTTGGCAACAAATCTGCAGGAATGTGCAGTCTGAAACAGAAGCTTTGTTCAGTATTTGGACTGTTTGTATTGATAATGTACTTTTTGAAATAGTCTCAAACTATTCTCAGATAAGGCGAGTAAGTAATTGTTTCATTTTGGTATGAACCTAGATTTCAGGGTTAGTGAAAAAGAGGGATGATTTGAGACTCCCAAATCTGAGTAAGAACAGAATCAAACAGCCCTGGAACCAGCAGATGGCATAAGGGTTACATCGCTGGACTCCCATGTAGTCCACTGTGGTTGAAGTCTCAGACTCAGTGACTTAAAACTCATGCTGGGCATGTGTGCATGTGTGCCCAGGATCCTGAGAGGAGAAAGAGAGGGGATTGTGGTGTGGCCATCCCCCCGGAGGTGACTTCTCGTTTTCTGTTTCTGTCTCTCTTGGTCTCTCTAGCGAATGCACAAACACTATAGCAAAAATCTCTCTTAAAACAAACAAACAAAAAAGCAGGCAGGTCCTGTGGTCTGGATTCCACATGGCCAGCCATGGGGTTTGAGTCCTAGACTTGGTGGCTTGAAAAACGTGCCAGGTGCATGTACATGCATGCCCAATGGAGGAGAAGGGATTGTGATGTGACCACTCCCCATTTGGGGGTACTTTTTTCCCCTCTCTTCTGCTCTCTTTGTCTCTCTCTGGTGAGGACACACACCCTCTGGCAAGGAAACAAACAAACAAAAATCTACAAAAAGAACTGAATCAGACATGTTAATATGAAGTCATGCCTTTACAAAACACAAAGTTAAAATATTTTAGCACTTTTTCCACTGAAATAGCCCTGTAGAAATGATACCCCACAATGTGCCTAGTACCCAGATTTGGGTCTCTAATGCTATTTTTTTTCCCCCAAGGGAGCTGAAGTTTCTTGGAGCCGATGATGTCTGGCCTGGGGCTGAAAGGAGTGAGGTAATTAGAGAACACCTACATCTTTGGGGTCAAATGAACAGCTTTACATAATTGGGTCATTCAAAATGACACAAGAAACAACCCAGAAAGGGCTCCCACTGGCCCCAGTCAGAACAATGGGAGCATCGGAGGAGAACACTGGTGGGCACCAGCTGGTACCGTAAATTTGGAAGACCGGTTCATAAGGATGCGCGACAAGAACAAAGCTGGCATCACGGGTTCCCAAGGAGGAATTGAACAGAGTGTATTTCTACTTATTAAACATGTTGGATTTATCGATTCATTTATGCATCAATAAAGAATACTAGCAAATGAAGCATTTTTCTCCCCCACCTCTAATCCTCAGCCCAAGCCACTGGCCTCTCCCACCTGACGCCTGAAACCACTCCTCACTGGCCACCATTCCACTTCAGACTTCCCGCACTTGCCCTGTCTCTGGTCAATGCCGTAGCAAATTTCCTCCAAGTTCCTTATACACAGGGATGGCAGACTCAGTGCTCTCCTGCCCCATCTCTTAAAAAAAAAAAAAAGTTTTTTCTTATTTTCTGTGTGCTCTAGTTTGTTTTTCCGCTAAAGGAACCCGCGGTGGGTACAGATCTGCTTGCTTTGCATTTTTCCTGACTTGATCCCATTGCCAGCCTCTGGAGCCCACCTGGAGGGGAGACCCTCATCAGGTCCATGGGTGTCTGCTGCCACCTTGTGGTGACTGCTAGAAAATCCCTTCTCCTGTTCCCAGTGGCAAAGGACGGAGGAAAGGAACTCACCAAGTTTCCTAGAATGACAGCTCAGGGGCTTGGCCCCTAACAAACCTCCAAGGTCACTAGTGGACTTCGAATATGGAGGGCACCGTCTCCCTGAGGCAAAGCAATGTACTAGTTGTAAGGGTCTGGGAGAGACTGCTGGGGACCTCTGTCATCTTTTGCCACTTAGTAATCTCATGATTTTAGTCAAGTTGTTTATTTTTATTTATTTATTTTTTTAAATCTTTATTTTGATGCCATGTTTAGAATTGTACTTTGAGTTTGCTCGTTTATTTATTTATTTATTTTTGCTATAGGTTGCGTGCGATCGCCAGATAGACAGACAGAAAGCGAGAAATCACCCCCCAGGGGGGATGGCCATGCCACAATCCCACAGTCCCTTCTCCTCCATTCTCCTCTCGGGATCTTGGGCACGTATGCACACGCGCCCGTGTGAATTTTAAGTCACCGGGTCCGGGACGCGAACCGCGGTCGACTCCATGGGAATCCAGTGACAGCCATTACGCTAAGTGCTGGTCCCATCTCCTTTTTTTGATATATAATTTGATAAAATTTTTGTGTGTCCTGTCCCTGGGTTAGACTGACATTCTGGAGGTGTTCAACAAGTTATGGATCAGCAGGGAGAGCTCACGCTGCTCAGTAGGAGTGTGAGTGAGTGTGTGAGTGTGTGTGTGTGTAACTGCCAGAGGGCACACGCACTCACCAGACACACACACACATCTTGCAACTTTCCTGTAATTTTGAAAACACATAAAAATAAATTACAAGGGACCAACAGATTGCATAATGATTATATCACTGGACTCCCACATGGTCAACTGCTATTCAAATCCTGGACCTGGTGGCTTAAACTCACGCTAGGCGCATGTGTGTACATGCCCAAAATCCTGAGAGGAGACTGGAAAAGAAGAGACTGTGGCATGGCCATCCATCCTGGTGGGGATGATTTCTTGCTTTCTGTCTCTCTCTGTCTTTCTGGAAAGCTCATGTGCCCTATAGCAAAAAATAAAAAAAAGAAAAGAAAAAAAGAAAGAAAGAAAAGAAAAGAAAAAAGAAAAAAATTCTCTAAAAATTAATTATAATAAAGTTTTCAAGGACTAATAAGGTCATGTCAAAAGGACAAGAAGGTAGTGTAGGAAGCTACCATGGACCGAGGCTGTGTCAGCCTGAGCGTGATAAACAACAACAATCACAGTGTAGACGGATACAGACACACGTGTCGCTCTGCCCTTTAGACTGACATTCTGGAGGTGTTCAACAAGTTATGGATCAGCAGGGAGAGCTCACGCTGCTCAGTAGGAGTGTGAGTGAGTGTGTGAGTGTGTGTGTGTGTAACTGCCAGAGGGCAC